TATATAAAAAAAAAAGTAAAAGCATGTTAATTTTAAAGTATACCGAACAATGTTCTTTTAGTATACTTGGAAGTATTACCGGTACCAAACTTATACTTCTTCGAACTAAATTGGGACATTTTTAAGTTTACTAAGGTATACTTAAAGTATAATAATAATATAGTCAAGTACACTTGACTATACTATTCTTAGGGGAATTAAATATAGTTTAGAATAAGTAAACTCTAAGTGCACTGCCTGATTTTAAGTATGAAATTAGTGCACTTTTAGTATACTTTAATAAACTACTTTTTGCTAAGGGAATGATGCCTCAGACTTATCTGTTGTGTAATTTCACCAGAAGATTATGAATATAATTAAATGAATAGAAATTGGAAGTGTAGTTAAGTGGTTTTGTAAATTGAGGGATAAACCTATTATTACTTAAATGATTATAACTGACATCTGCTAACTTACCAAGGCTGTTTAGTCTTCTACCCAAGGTCGGACTTCAGGAACAGCTGTTAAAATCCAGTTGTATTTTACCAATTTAGTGATTTATACTATGATTATCAGCAGGGCTGTTGCTTTCTCTAAGCAATAAACAAAAAGACTGGATTTGGCTCTAAGTGATAAAATCATTCACTGTATAAAAAAATTTCGGGTTCATAAATGTAGGTTTGCAAAAGAAGAACTGAAATACACAGTAATGGATACAATTTCTGCAGAAAGGAGAGACAGTTGAACCCCAGACTCAAACACACTGTCTCCCACTGGACCTCCTCCACAGAGTGTTTTATTAACAGAACATGACGCATGGTTACAAACAGAGTATTGTTCTGACAGAACAATTGATCAGTTCATAAAGACAGGATGCTCCATCAGAATGACAAGGCAGGATGATCTCCTGACTGAATCATGAAACAGGAGTGGAGCATCCCCTCGTACAAATGTTTTATAAGCACACATTCATTTTATAATCATCATTGAATAAACCTAAAAATAATCACAGACTACCATAGGTTGACATATTTGTACCTTTATTGGCGAGTAATCCTTTTTACTGTATTGATCTGTCAAATTACTGCAAAGACTACTGAAAATAAGCAGGAGTAAATGAATAGCTAACAAAACGGGAGCCTAAGGGTCCGTTAAGAGCCACTTCAGGTTGTTAAAGGTTAATGCATTTAAAGTGTCCTTTAAAATAGAAGATAAATGTGAATAACAACTGATGCAGAGATCTGTTTTTAAACTGTAGCTTCATTCTGTTTGCAGTGAATAATTAACAATGAGTCAGAGATGCATTAAAATGTAGCGGCACTGGAGTAAAATGGGTTATCTCAAAAAAACACCAGGGTTGAATCCCAAACTGCCCCTCAACCACTAACCCTTAACTATCAAGTATCACTCTCCATGAAGTCACACTCACAGCGGTGGAAGACGCCTGGATTGTATGCGGGGGAATAAACATGAATGGGACCTTGCAACGGAAAGGTAAAGCAGTCGTTCCTATGGCAACACAGTGCCCCTGCATGTGCCTGGCTGTAACATAAACATTTGCCATTTTCTTAAAAATAAATCTATCCAGTCAAATAAAAATACTTCAAAGAGGAGCTTCCCTTTAGGGATCAACGACACCTTTCCTTTTCCTAACTTGTGGATTTCTGTCAGTGTGATGAAATTCACTCTCACTTTGTCATTGACCTTTGATCTTCAACATGGACAAAAGTTAAACTTTCTGAAATTCATGAATCTTACTTCATATGGTCTTAACCCTTTGAAGCCTGATCCAAGAATAAAACAAAACAGAAAATTACTTTTTTTTGGTTTGAAGTCCTTATTTGCCATTTTAATAAAATATGTATACATTTTTGATATTAATAATTTATTACTATGCGATAAGTCAAGATTATTTTTTGTGTAGTCTTCTGCCCTCTGTTATCAGGTATATCTGATTGTGTACAATAGGATTTTGAGCAAAGTTTTTACCATTAAATTATGCAAAAGGTGTCAGACGCAAAACATTTCAGAAACCGTATGTATCGAATATGATACATTTGGCATTATAGGGTTAAACCACCACAGAATCAAACCTACAGCTATATATGGAGGTGGTGGTGTGATGATCAAGGTCTGCATTGACTGCTGTTGTAGATGAAACCAGGAATTCTCTCGAAAACAGCCAATAAAGGAAAATGTACAACAACAAGACAACGTCTGAAGCTGTATGGGTCAAAAACGTCTAAATGGCCTAGTCAAAGTTTGACATGTACTGCCCTGACCTCTAACATGCTTGGTTTTTAAAGGGCACAGATCATGAAATAATATGTTTGCAGAGGCTGGAAGATGTAAAATAAGATAAACAGAGACTTTCTTCTCCACTTAATATATAACAGGAGTAGATTATAATTTGGGAGTTGCCACTTTTTGCTCTTGTTTGAACTGGATAGACAGCTATGTACTGCAGCAGGAGACAGACCGGAAGTAAACAAAAAATATTTTAATCCCCAGATGTGGTTCAATTTAATTGTATATTAATTGTGTGATATTAGGTTTCAGATTAATTTACAGTTATATAAATCTGCAAATCCGTATTAAACCTAAACTGTTTTTTTCAAAAGCTGAAAAGGAAAAAAATGCAAATACAAATACATTCAGGTGGTGTGACTTCCTTCCACACTGCTGTGTTTACTGTAAAGGCAGGGCAAGTGTATTTAGACATTACATTTTATAAAAGGATCCCCTTAAGTCATTAACATGGGAAAGAAAACAGATATAGATATCCTTCAGTTGACAGTTTAAATAGAATACTCCTACTACTAAAACAACTACAGCTGCAACCAGTTCCTGCACATGTAGGCTTAAAATATAACACAATTAAAAAAGACAAACAAAGAGATCTTTGAAACAATATAATAAAGTGCTTTTAAAAGTGAACTATCTAAACAAACAGGTTTATAAACCTAATTTAAATTATTTTAGGGATTTTGCTTTTTTTCTGCAGATATGTAAAGCAAAATAAATGAATTCTACCTTTTGTTCTAGTTGTGGGATGGGTAGATTTGATGCAGAACACATAGCTCCAAATCTAAAGAACAGCTGCGAGGTTAATCTGTGACAATTTCACACCAAAGGAAACATTTTTAAATTAAAATGACAAAAATTACAACCTGTGATGAACTATTTATGCATTAAACTGCATTTCTCCTTCCAGAGGATCCTAATATTTTTCTAATATTTTTTATTTATCTTTTATATTTTTTCCCCTGAAACTCTGGAAAAAGAAGAAAAAATATTTTAAGAAAGTTTAATGAAGAATAATTATAATGGCAAAAAGCTTGTTCTGATGCCAAAAAACAGAAATTACAAAGTGCTTGATAAGAAAACAATGAAACAAGTTGGGTCACATGGATGTTCCTTGTATTCATTACCATAAATAAATATTAAGATATTCACAAAGTAAAATGTAAATCAATTTTTTCCTCTCTGTACAAACTCTTCAGAGAGCCTCCCTGGTGGATTTTTAAAATGTTTTGCTGATCCTCTCATTGTGATTTTACCACTTCCATAGGTGTGGAGAACTTTGCAGAGTTGCAGCAAAGCATCCTTTTCTATTCCCATTGAGTTTACACCTGTACCTGGTGATGAAAGCAGATATGTGGCTTTGGAAATGGTACTTAAAACAACAGCAAGCTAAACATATACTGCGTGTCATCTCAGATTAACCGAGAAGTTTGTTTTGGTGGAGTGAGTGACGGATGGTGACTGGATGGATTTCATCCTACAGGGTTTATTTTTTTCCTATGGGTTCCCAGTTGGCGCAGCAAACAGCATAAATATCCTCTTCCAGAGTCATCCAGCATCTATTTCGCTCTTCATCATGATTGGCTCCACGTTCTGTAAGTACTCAACCAATTTAAACGTGTCTCTTTCATTGAAGCCTTTGCAGTTCTTGCTTTGCTGGGACGCAACCCTTTACTAATTAATTTAAGGTGCTCAAAAAAAGCAAATTATTTACCAGATAGAAAATAGTTTGGCAGCCAAATCAACCAAAAACAGAGTGTTTATCGTAATTTCATATTACCCTGCTGCTTATCTTCACTGTTTTCCCTCTAAAGTTTCTTTATTTATATTTCAAAATTATTTTTTACAATTTGAGGGATAGAAACTAAGGTTAAATTCCAAGTTTCTGTGCCAGTCTTTGACCAATAAAGATTCTGATTCACAGTCTTGATTAAAAAAAAAATGTTTATGTGCAGTGGTACAAGTTCACAACCCTGTTGAATTCAAACTAAATTCTTTAAAAGATAAATAAACTTAAACCTACTCGATAACAATGGTGGTAAAATTGTAGGGATCAGTTGTCAACAAAACCAGATGAGAGACAAAATAATTAACAACTTTAATGAGCTTTTTTGGTGCTAATGTCTCAAATGAAACTCTTTGGTGAGAAATGGTTCATAATTTAGTTAGTTTTTAGTCATTACACCAAACAATAAAAGGATTTTAGCAGCAGACTATACGCACTCAACCATAAATATATCTTTTCTGGAGTAAAGCCTGAATGAAGATAAAATAGTATTTATCATATCAGAAACTATTTCCACTAAATGCTGCAAAACATTGAGCTTGTTAGAAAAACCAGACACATTTTATTAAATGTGAAAGTTTTTATTTATTTATTTTTTTCTCAGATTTAAGGGTTTTTCTCTCTTTCAGTTTTGGCAGTAACCTGTTTGCTGATAAATTCAGGTAAAAAGACGTTTTAGTGTGCAAAAAATTCAAAATGAATCATGATACAACCTTCCATCATCGTGATCAGATCTAAATACACTTAAACATGTTTTCACCTAATAAATAAGCCTTTAAATTGCAGCCGGCTCCCAGAAGATTCAAAGTGTGGCGTGTGAAGGATCAGAGGCTCAGCTTAAGTGTGGTAAGATCACTGGGTTTGTTGTCTCTGCTTTATTGGAGCATTAAAACCCATAGAGGTGTTTTAATTTCCCAGCATCTCCTTTCTTCTCTGTCAGGCAAAGATGAGGTTATATCTGTGAGCAGAGCCACATATGGACGCCTTGACAGAAACACATGTTCCTCTGGGAGACCTAACCGGCAGTTAAAGAACATCAAATGCTCCAGGAGCTCAGAGAAAGTGGCTGAGAGGTAAAGATGCTCAGTCTTTTATAAAGTGTCTCACAAAAGTATTTGCCCCCCAACTTGGTATTTGTCTCCTGGATGTGGGACTGTAAGGTTACATCACTGCAAAAATGGTCTAGTAATGAGTGAAAAATTCTTAAATTAAGGGTATTTACCCTTAACTTATGTAGATAAATAAGATGATTTTTCCAATGGAACGAGTATTGTTACATTTAAAATAAGATAATTAAATAATATGCCCTTGAAATAAGACAATGCAATTGGTTTTTTTCTTATTTTAAAAGTAAACTGTCTTGTTCCATTGGCAATCTGTCTCACCTCATCAATTTAAGACAAAATGCACTTATTGTAAGAAAAATTACTTATTTAATAAAAATTTTTTTTGCACTGCAGAGCATGTCTTCACATTGATGCATTTTTTTTCATGAAGAACAATAAGAACAAAGACACATACTTCACTTTGCATAACTGTTCACCCCCCATCCCCTCCACATCAGTACTTTGTAAAGCCTCGCTTTGCTGCAATTAGAGCTGCAGTCACTTTGCATCGCTCTCAGTGACGTCAACACATCTGGCCACTGGGATTTTTCCTCCAGCTCCTTCATGTTGGTGGTCTTCTTTGGTAAAGCTATGATCCATAAATCTAACCACAGATTCTCATTTGGACTCAGGTCTGGACTTTGACTGGGCCATTCCAACATATTCTAAAATGTTTGTAATTATTCCACTGGAGTTGAGTTAATAGTTTGGAGTGGGATTCTAATCCCACCCTGGCTTGTACATTTCAACATTTTTTACTCTGAGTTTGGAGAGCTTCTGGATTATTATGGTGTAGTGCTTCTTGCTGAGAGGCGGTGCACTCTCTGGGATCTTTCAGAAAGGATGAGTTTCTACAGACATATCATGTAACTCTTAAACTTTATCTTCATTACACTAATGATGTGATTATTGAAGGTAATCAGCTGAACCAGAAAGTATTAATGGCTCCATAGCCATTGTTATACCTTTCTTTTTGTTTTTTTATATATATATTCCTTTTCTTATATGATCTCATTTTACCTCAAAACATTGTTTTTTGTATAGATCATATATTTTAAGATTAGGAAAT